GCGTTGTGTATTGAGAACGCCTCGTTGTCCTCCCAGGAGCGCCAGCGGCTCCGCAATCTCATCGTCAGATTCGCCGATGTGTTCAGCCAGAACAAATTCGATTTGGGCCGTACCACTCTCCTGGAACATCATATCGACACGGGTGACTTGGCCCCTATTCGACTGAATTCACACCGTTTTAGCCCAGCGGAAAACGATAATGTCCGCTCCGCAGTTAATGACATGTTGGCGGCGGACATTATCTCTCCTTCCACTAGCCCTTGGGGAGCCCCCATCGTGCTAGTCAAGAAACGGGACGGGAGTCTCCGCTTCTGCGTCGACTTCCGTAAATTAAACAAGATTTCAGTAGCCGATGCATATCCCTTGCCTCGCATGGACGATTCCCTCGACGCCCTCTCGGGTGCGCGGTTCTTTTCGACCCTCGATTTGCTTTCGGGCTTTTGGCAGTTACCATTGGATGAGGCCTCCAGGCCAAAGACCGCGTTCCGCACACCTCAGGGCTGTTCCAATTCAATCGGCTCCCGATGGGTCTTCATTCGGCCCCGGCCACCTTTCAGCGCCTCATGGAATTGGTCTTGGCGGGGCTGCAGTGGGAGTCTTGTTTGATTTACTTGGACGACGTTATCGTTTTTGGACGTACGTTTGACAAACACTTGCAGCGGTTGGATGCGGTGTTCGCCAAAGTGCGCACTGCGGGCTTAAAATTCAAACCTCAGAAGTGCCACCTGCTGCAACCATTGGTGAAGTATTTGGGCCACATTGTTAGCACGTCAGGTGTGGCCACGGATCCGGAAAAGACTACTTGTGTCCGGACGTGGCTGACTCCTACATCTGTCGCTTAGGTGCGTAGCTTTGTGGGCTTCGCATCGTACTATCGCCGATTCGTCCGCGATTTTGCGGAGCCACTACATGCACTCTCTGCCAAGGGACAGAAATTTCGCTGGGGGATGGAGGAGGAGGCCGCTTTTGCGGCGCTTCGCACGGCCTTAGCAGATGCGCCGCCCTTGGGGTACCCGGATTTCTCCCGGCTGTTCCTCCTCGACACCGACGCCAGTGACACGGGCATTGGGGCCGTCCTGGCTCAGGTTGTCAATGGGGTAGAGCGGGTGGTGGCCTACGGTAGCAGCATTTTGTCCCCCACTGTGCAGCGGTACTGTGTGACCAGGAGGGAGCTGCTGGTCATTGTTTTCTTCGTCCAATTGTACAGGTCATATCTGTATGGTCGCCGGTTTACCGTCCGGACCGACCATGCAGCCCTGCAATATTCCCTCCGAATTGACCATCCCTCGGGTCAGCTGTCACGCTGGCTCGAGGTTCTCCAGGAGTACCCCTTCGATGTCATCCACAGGAAGGGGACTCTGCATGGGAATGCGGACGGCCTTTCCAGGCGGCCCCCGGTGGGCGAGTGTGCCTGCGCCCTGGGTTCTAGCCGCTGTAAGGCCCCAGTGGATACCGTGGCCCAGTTGGTTGCATCGGCCGATGCGGCGCCCTCTCCGGGTGGGGCGTTGCCTAGGGATTTTGGTCTGGGACTCCCCCGGGAGGTATGGTTCCAGATGCAGATGGAGGATTCCTCTCTGCTGCGGTTGCGACGCCGGGTTGGGTCTAAGGCCCGGAGCTCGGCTCCGTCGGCTGGCCCGGTGGTCGCCATTCATGACGGATTCCTCGTGCGTTGGGATGCTCAAGTGAACGATATTGTGTGGTGGTGCCCATTGGCCTACGAGGTAAATTGACCCGAGCCATTCACGAGAAGCTTATGCACCTCCGCTACCACAAGACCCTCTTGACCCTTAAACGGGACTACTATTGGCCGGGCGTGGAGGATGATGTGGCGCTGATTTTGAAGGGTTGCCATGACTGTGCGCGGAGGAAGGCCCCAGTGGGTCAGGATCGGGCCCTGCTGCAGTCCATCCCGGTTTCTCGTGTAAATGAGCTCGTGGCACTTGATATTTTGGGACCATTCCCTACATCCCAACGGGGACACAAATACCTCTTGGTGGAGGTGGAATACCTCACACGTTGGCGTGGCCCCTGGTGGACCAATCGGCCTCGTCCATCACGGAGGCATTCGTTCAGGGGTATGTTCTCGATAAGGGGGCACCAGAACAGCTCTTAACTGATCAGGGGCGGAATTTTTCTTCCCAAGGAGGTCTGTGACCTCCTTGGGACGAAGAAAGTCCGCACCTCGCCCTACCATCCCCAATCCGACGGGATGGTAGAACGATTGAACCGCACGCTCACGTCCATGTTGTGTCATCACGTGAGCTCGTCCCAATCGGACTGGGACCTGTTCATACCGGGGGTGTTGGCCGCGTACAGACTGGCTCCTCATGCCTCGATGGGGTTCTCCCCCTTTTTCCTTATGTACGGGAGGGAGCCCGAGCCCCCGGTGCTCATTCAATTGGACCTTGGCACAGTCAAGAAGGGGTCATCCGTTCCCCTTCTGATGAAAATCGCGCTGGATCGGCTGTGCGAAGCGCGGCAGGCAGCTTTAGAAAATTCGGACAGTCGGCAGGTGGCCACGCAGCGCTTGCCTAAACATTAGGCCTTTGGGCTGCAGTGGAAAAAGGGCCAGTTGGCGTGGCTGCACTGCCCTCAGGTGCCGGTAGGCACGTCCCCTAAACTACATCGGCCATGGCAGGGCCCTGTCGAGGTAGTGGGGGTCCGATGGCCTCAGTGTGTCCGCATCCGGTTGGGCCGGCGTCACTGGACCGTGCACCCATCGCGACTCAAGTGGGTGGTGCCGCCCGCCTTCCCTGATTCATCCCCAATTCCGGGCCGGCCGGCGGTGGAGGCGTCCGACGGGCTGGGTCCTGGGGGCGGGGGGGATGTTACTGTCGCCTTGCCCTCCTGTGTGTTCCCAGAGCTACCGCCGTTGATCCCGCCGGTTGCGGAAACGACCGCCGTGGGGGGCAGTGGCCTGACGGTGGAGGCGCCGGCTGCACCGCCGCCAGCGGCGTCACCTACGACGCCTTGTCCTGGCCAGGGTCCATCTGAGCCGCGGCGGGACGGTGCAACGCCGGCTCCGGCGGCTGACGCCGCTCAAGGGAGTGGACCGGCGGCGGGCAAGCGCTCGCGGGGCAGGCGCATACGCTGAAGGATGGCGATGCCGTCCTCTTCCATCCCGCCCTTATCGCCACTTGCCGTTCCGGTTGGCGTCTATGCCCGGACTTTGGCTTGTACCGGCGTGCCCTAATGTTTGGTTTCTAGCAGCCAGTCAAGCTTCTACATTCGGAGGGTTGCATTCGTTGCGTTACGTTCGTTGTGTATCGTCGGTTCCCGAAAAGGGGGGGGCACTGCTCACGGAGTGATTTTGAGGAGTAGAGGGGTGACGGAATGTCACACTCGCCTCGGGAGGAGTGACATCATGTCCCCTCGGGGTATTTGAGGGAGGACCCGTGATGTATTCGAGGTCTTCGCGAGGAGCCGGGGTCGTGAGCGGGAGGGAAGTGGGGACCCAGGGTAGGGGGGCTACTTGACCCGGCTGGCCAAGTTGGTCAGCGCTGTGGGAGAGCCCGTTAGCCTGGGGGGGGGGGGGGGGGGGCGTAGGGGTTCCCAGTACCTTTCCCCTGGGGAGATTTAGCTTAATCACCAAGTCCTGTGTTAGCCCTTCCCCAAAAGCTAGGTGACAGCCCTTAATAAACTGTTGGCGTCAACCCCGACAACGTCTGCCTTCCGTGTCATCATTTACACCGTAACACCTGTATAAAAGACACCTGTCCACAGAAGCAATCAATCAATCAGATTCCAAACTCTCCACCATGGCCAAGACAAAATAGCTCTCCAAGGATGTCAGGGACAAGATTGTAGACCTACACAAGGCTGGAATGGGCTACAAGACCATTGCCAAGCAGCTTGGTGAGAAGGTGACAACAGTTGGTGCGATTATTTGCAAATGGAAGATACACAAAAGAATTGTCAATCTCCCTCAGCCTGGGGCTCCATGCAAGATCTCACCTCGTGGAGTTTCAATGATCATGAGAACGGTGAGGAATCAGCCCAGAACTACATGGGAGGATCTTGTCAATGATCTCAAGGCAGCTGGGACCATAGTTATCAAGAAAACAATTGGTAACACACAACGCCGTGAAGGACTGAAATCCTGCAGCGCCCGCAAGGTCCCCCTGCTCAAGAAAGTACATATACATGCCCGTCTGAAGTTTGCCAATGGACATCTGAATGATTCAGTGGACAACTGGGTGAAAGTGTTGTGGTCAGATGAGACCAGAATGGAGCTCTTTGGCATCAACTCAACTCGCCGTGTTTGGAGGAGGAGGAATGCTGCCTATGACCCCAAAAACACCATCCCCACCGTCAAACATGGAGGTGGAAACATTATGCTTTGGGGGTGTTTTTCTGCTAAGGGGACAGGACAACTTCACCGCATCAAAGGGACGATGTACGGGGCCATATACTGTCAAATCTTGTGTGAGAACCTCCTTCCCTCAGCCAGGGCATTGAAAATGGGTCGTGGATGGGTATTCCAGCATGACAATGACCCAAAACATACGGCCAAGGCAACAAAGGAGTGGCTCAAGAAGAAGCACATTAAGGTCTTGGAGTGGCCTAGCCAGTCTCCAGACCTTAATCCCATAGAAAATATGTGGAGGGAGCTGAATGTTCGAGTTGCCAAACGTCAGCCTCGAAACCTTAATGACTTGGAGAAGATCTACAAAGAGGAGTGGGACAAAATCCCTCCTGAGATGTGTGCAAACCTGGTGGCCAACTACAAGAAACGTCTGACCTCTGTGATTGCCAACAAGGGTTTTGCCACCAAGTACTAAGTCATGTTTTGCAGAGGGGTCAAATACTTATTTCCCTCATTAAAATGCAAATCAATTCATAACATTTTTGAAATGTGTTTTTCTGGATTTTGTTGTTATTCTGTCTCTCACTGTTCACATAAACCTACCATTAAAATTATAGACTGATCATTTCTTTGTCAGTGGGCAAATGTACAAAAACAGCAGGGGATCAAATACTTTTTTCCCTCACTGTATATATCTGTGCTTGTATGCTTGTCACTTGTCTTTACGTGGTAGCTATTTGTGCACCAATCGACACCCTGGACACCTGTGCAAACGAGATGTTCAATCTGGAGGAGTTTTCTGGGTGAAATATTTTGCGAATTAAATAGTTAAACCCCCAACAACATTTTTTACGAATATTAATTTCCCTGCAGTACAAAACAATGCCCACCGACACAGCCAATGCCAACGCCGCTGAAGAGTGTCGAATTTGCCGACAGCGATGCCCGGCTACAGCTGCGTGGCTAGCGGCTTCGCCAGCAGGCGGGCCGCTTTAATGCGAAAGCAGAGACACTCGACGGCTCCTATGCCACAGCCTGCCACGATGCCCAAGACCAGGAAGATGAAGATTCCACGGAAGTCATTCATCTCTATCTGGTCTTTGCCCGAAATTTGGGAGACGCATTCCTGCGCCTCCTGCGCAAACCAGACACGCTCAATCTTGTCGAGGTCGCCGGACTCCTCCAGCTCCACGATCGCACGGGACACCTGGCCCACGAGCTGCGAGTCGCGGCGGAATGGCAGGGCAAGCCGGTGCCGGTAGAAGCGGCGGTCGGAGATGGTCATGTCGCAGTAATCCTTCTTGGCCGTGTAAACGGCTGACATCTCGCCGATGAAGATGAATGGCTCGTTCTCGACTCTCTTGAGACCGAGCTCTGGCGAGCTGGCCACAGTGCCATTGGACACGTGGAGCCAAATGGTGACATAAGGCTCACGTGACGCGTTCTTCAACAGGGAGAACACGGAGTAGCCTCCGTACGTGCCGTAGTTGGTATCCACGCGGTCTGCGAGCTCCCTGAGTGAACGCACGCCGCTGGTGCCCTCGGCCGTAAGAAACGCTGCCAGGTTGGCTGTGTACGTCGAGCAAGCCACCAGCACGAAGCACCACCAAGTGTACGAAATTATTTTGCCGGCCATCGATGCCGGCAGCGGCCCGGAGCCCTGGTTCACCATGCTGGAGAAAGCGAACCACAGGCTGTTGGGGACGCTGAAGGCGAGACCTTCACTGGGGGTCGCGTGACCGCGTCTGGCCAGGTGGTGCCACTCGTCCGGATGTATCCGGGCGAGCAGCGCCAACGCGAGGCCAATGCCGGCGCAGGCCGACAGCATGGACATCCACAGGTAGGTGTTGAGAGGCTCAAGGAACTGAAAGAGTCGCACTTCCGCTCGCTCGTGGCTGCCGGAGATGATGTGGTAGCCATTCTCGAACACCATCTCCGACAAGGCTATGGCTCTGTCGGCAGGATCGTCCATCACTGGATAGCCAAACAGGGCAAACTCCACGGAAGTCGCATCCTGAAACCGGTGTGAACGTGTTATTAGTATTCTTAATTAAGTAAGCTATTTGTGAGTTTTTGTTTTGTTAAGTCTATTCATTTATAAATAATGACAAATTGTCGGATTTTGCGCTGTAAGACCGTCCACCACCAAACATTGGTGAAAATATTCACATCATGTTGTACAGAACATTTAAAGTGCAAATTATTATTATTTAACTTCATACTCTTTGGGTCTTTCGATAAAGCCACGTAGACAGAAAAAATAATAAAAATATCACAATGTTTTGATCGCATTACAAGCAATCGTCATCAAGTGAAAAAATAGAGCAAGAGAGCTGCTGAGGCAGGAAAAAATATAGCGGGAGAGCTGCTGAGGCAGGATGTTATTAAGGTTTCAGATGGGTGTAGCCCAAGGGTCATAAGCGAAGTGGGCGGGGCTAGAGATTAAATTTGCATGTAAATGTAAGATCGGAGAGCTGGGCTACCTCCACCACGACAAAGCTGTGGAGGTGGCCATTGTATTGTGAGAGATTAGCATGTCAATGTAAAAAAACGAACAACACGAAAACCACTGCCACATCGAGGAAAACGAGCAATGGTAGCTGTGTTAGTGAGACATTTAGCCTGTTAATTTAAAGACATTTAACCTGGTGATGTAACGCAGAGAGTCGAAATATGCTAACATCGGCAGGTAGGATGGAAACATCACAGCCAGTTATGACTTAAACTGCTTAATGTCCTTCCAATGATTGCTCAGTTTGTACCCACCTTCTTGGTTGAAATTGTGTCTGGATGGCTTCATGAATGCATCTTTGCTGATAGCCAGTGCGTTTGCAGAGTACCTTCGTCTTGGAAAAATCTATTTCGTGTGTGCCCATAGCATTAAAACAATGATCAGCCACGGCCGAGGTATTGGTCCTACCGTGTTTCAGATCTGCCTTATGTTCATGAACATGGTCCGAGACATGTTGCCTTGTTTCCCCAATGTAACTACTGCTGCAGACACAGCTTAGTTTGTAGATACCGGGGTATTGCATGTCAGGGAGCACATCCTTCACAGATGGGATCAGATCATGAATTTTATGTACTGTGTTGAATCGAACCTGGATCTTGTGTTTGCTCATGATTTTTGAAATATTTTTGGTAACCCCTGCTATGTATGGCAAGGTGATGGTTTTGATTGGGTCCTCAGATGGTTCTTTCCCAATGGTTGGGGTGATAGCTTTACGGATTGTGTAGTCTGAATATCCATTCATCTTGATGGCTTGGTGTACGTGTTCCAGTTCACTGGCTAGGTGGTGATGGTCGGAAATACAGCAAGCTCTATGGTGTAGAGTTTTGATGAGGGAATTCTTCTGGGATGGATGGTGGTGGGAGTCAGGTTTTAGGTAGGCATCCGTATGGGTGGCTTTCCTGTAGACAGAGTGTCCCATTGAGCCATCTGGTCTCTTTTCGATTAAAACATCCAAGAATGGTAACGTGCCAACCTTTCCACCTCCATGGTGAATTTGATGACTGGGTGTATGAAATTAATGTGGTTGAGAAATTGGTTCAGTTCTAGCAGGCCATGTGGCCAGATGACGAACGTGTCATCTACATATCTCTTCCACAAGGAAGGACGTAGGGTGGATGCCTGTATGGCATCTGTCTCAAAATTTTCCATGAAAACATTGGCTACAACTGGAGATAAGGGAGAACCCATTGGGGTACCTTCAACTTGTTTGTAGAATGCTCCATTCCAGGTGAAGTATTGGTGAGGCAGTGTCTAACCAGGACTGGTACATCAACATTCAGTCCTTGTTGGACCAAATCTTCAATGATTGAAATGGTGTCAGGCACAGGAACTTTGGTAAACAAATATACTACAATCTTGATTTGAAGCTTTCGTGACTGCAGGAATTCATACTCTTTGGTTCTTTCGGTCAAGTCATGTAGGTAGAAAAAATAATACCGATCGCCTTTATACTCACATCTGCTGCTGTCACTTATCCTACCTCTAAACGGATCTTGTTTAGGGCCAGCCTAGCTCTAATCTCTGAGAAAATAAGATTGCTCCGACTTGAACTTGATAATTTAGGCAAGACTCTCCTACAATCACACTTAGCATTAACAGATAAAATGTCCACATCTGATTGGAACCATGTAGATATCATGACAGTTTCTTCAGCTACTTCAATGTCAACCAAATGTAAAGATAACTTGATAGCTAAATTCAACCTCCTGTCAAAAAAGAAGCCAGAGCCACATGTAAAAACGTTAGATGTTAACAAGATTGTCATCAATCACCCCTAAACACATCCCAGTGCCCAGGTTGACGTAGCCCTCCAAGGTTTGGGACACATCCCGGCAGATGTTGCAAGATCTGAAATGGCTGCTATCCTCAAAAAAGCTAAGAAACCCATGAGCAACATCAGCAAGAACGAGCGTTTTGAACTCACTAAATAAAAAAAAAGAGATGACATTATCATCCTCTCAGCAGACAAGGGCAATGCCACTGTCATCATGAATAAAACCACTTACAAAATTCAGGACTTTCTTAGTGATGGAAGCTATACCAAAATCAATAGAGATCCCACTAACCGCCTAGCCACGAAAACCAACAATATCATCACTAATTCAACTTCTCTAATCGAACCGACCAAGTAGCTCTCTCTAAAACCTTCGGCTGCTAGACCACCTAGGTTTTATGGCCTTCCAAAAATCCACAAAGAAGGTATTCCTCTCTGTCCTATTGTCTCCACCATTAACTCACCCACCTACAAACTGGCCCGATTTCTGTCTGAGACCCTGCTTCCTTTCACGGGCAAGACCACCTCAGCTGTACTTTACTCGGCTCACTTGGTTTCTCTAATCAAGGACATCTCACTGTCTCCAGATGATTTGCTTGTCAGTTTCGATGTAGCCTCTCTGTTCACCAAGGTACCTGTACCCGACACCATTGCAATCATTGAAGACTTGGTCCAACAGGGACTGAATCCAGATGTACCAACGTTGGTAAGGCATTTCCTTACCAACACTTACTTCACCTGGAATGGTACATTCTACAAACAAAATGAGGGGTATCCCAATGGGTTCTCCCTTATCACCAGTGGTAGCGAATGTTTTCATGGAGAAATTTGAGACATGCCATCCAGACATCCACCCTACGTCCTTCCTTGTGGAAGAGATATGTAGATGACACGTTCGTCATCTGGCCACATGGCCTGCAAGAACTGAACCAATTTCTCAACCACATCAATTTCATACACCCATCTATCAAATTCACCATGGAAGTGTAAAATGATGGCAAGCTACCATTCCTGGATGTTTTGATCAAGAAGAGACCTGATGGCTCGTTGGGACACTGTCTACAGGAAAGCCACCCATACGGATGCCTACCTAAAACCTGACTCCCACCACCATCGATCCCAGAATAATTTCCTCATCAAAACTCTACACCATAGAGCTATATATATTTCCGACCATCACCACCTAGCTAGTGAACTGGAACACGTACACCAAGCCATCAAGATGAATGGATATTCAGACTACACAATCCGTAAAGCTATCACCCCAACCATTGGGAAAGAACCATCTGAGGACCCAATCAAAACCATCACCTTGCCATACATAGCAGGGGTTACCAAAATATTTCAAAAATCATGAGCAAACACAAGATCCAGGTTCGATTCAACATAGTACATACAATTCGTGATCTGCTCCCATCTGTGAAGGATGTGATCCCTGACATGCAATACCCCGGTGTCTACAAACTAAGCTGTGTCTGCAGCAGTAGTTGCATTGTGGAAACAAAGCGACATGTCTCAGACCGTGTTCGTTAACATAATGCAGATCTGAAATAAGAGAGGACCAATACCTCGGCCGTGGCTGATCATTGTTTTAACGCTGCGGGCACTCATGAAATTGTTTTTTTTTTAAGACGAAGATACCCTGAAAATGCACTGGCTATCAGCAAAGATTCGTTCATGAAGCCATCCAGATATATAAACACAGATACAATTTCAACCGAGAAGATGGGTACAAACTGAGCAATCATTGGAAGAACGTTATTAACCAGTTTAAGTCATAACTGGCTGTGATGTTTCCATCCTACCTGCCGATGTTAGTTATTTTCGACTCTCTGAGTTACATTACCAGGTTAAATGTCTTTACATTAACAGGCTAAATGTCTCACTAACACAGCCACCGTTGCTCGTTTTCCTCGATGTGGCGGTGGCTCTCGTTTTTTTCTTACATTGACATGCTAATCTCTCACAATTCAATGGCCACCTCCACAGCTTTGTCGTGGTGGAGGTAGCCCAGCTCTCCGATCTTACATTTACATGCAAATTTAATCTCTAGCCCCGCCCACTTCGCTTATGACCCTTGGGCTACACCCATCTCAAACCTTTATAACATCCTGCCTCAGCAGCTCTCCCGCTATATTTTTTCCTGCCTCAGCAGCTCTCCCGCTATATTTTTTCCTGCCTCAGCAGCTCTCCCGCTATATTTTTTCACCTGATGACGATTGCTTGTTTTGCGATCGAAACGTCGTGATATTTTTATTATTATTTTTCTTCTATCTACGTGGCTTTACCGAAAGACACAAAGAATATGAATTCCTGCAGTCACGAAAGCTTTAAGTCAATATTTATTTTACTTCACTCACAGTGTACGTTGAATAATAATTCTCGCAACCAAATTCAGCAATTGGATATGACATTTTTCTTCAAATTATGTTGATGGTGTAGGTGATGTCGATGATGGTGGCGTTCGTGATAATGTTGTTAATGATGGTGTTGATGATGATTGTGTTGATGGTGGTATGTATGATGAATGTGGTGATGATGGAGATCATGGTGACTGATGACGGTTTTTGATGGTGGTGGTGTTGGTGGTGATGGTGACGGTGATGATCATGATGGGTCGTGGCCATGGGTGTTAGGCTACATTACGCACCGGCGATCCTGTCAGTTGCCCTTTCACGCGTTCCTTCATTGTCACCTGAGTAGCTACAGAGTTGTCCATGTCCTCCCAGGCTGCTGGAGGCGGGATGAGCTCCGTCTCAAACTCCAGCTTCTCCGTAATCTTGTTGAGCAAGTCCACCAGGAAGCCCGATGCCTTGGACACATTCCCGTCTTCGTACCACACAAAGCCAGCCACCTGCAGAGCCAAACCGAGTTGACCGTGGCCGATGGTGAGGATAGATTGTTTAATAGAATGCATGACAACTAAACGCACGTTCCAAAACCACATTTGTCACAAGCAGTGCTGCGATGTGCTACACATGTCAAAGTCGCTGCTTCGGCATTTTCATCTGACCCTGGCAATTGCACCATGAGCATGTTTTAGCAGTATTAAAAAAAAGCATGCTATGAGCATGGGCCCCAAGGCCTAATAAGTCATACAGCCAGCAACAAACAGCACGATCAAAGTTGTAATATGAGTCAACACATTTCTCGAATTGAATCAAGGTTACTATGAGGGCTTGGGGAAAAGAGACGATGGTAGGTAATTTAAAAGTGGAGCAGTGCGAGGGAAGAAGCAGAAATATCAGTCACCTGCAGTGTGGCGCGTGAGTGGGTGAGTGGGTGTGTGGGTGGGCGAGTTACTGAGTGAGGGGTAGCGGCAGTGCAGTGGTTCGCGCACTGCGCTACGACCCCGGCTACCTGAGTTCGATTCCTGCTCATGGTCAACACTAGTGACGACTATCTGAAATGGTCCTGGGCCTCCCCTAGGTCGACTCAGCCTCAAATGAGTACCTGGTGCTATGTGTAAACATCACCACTGGGGAGACAAAGGCGGCCAGGCGTTTTGCTGGCCATCCACCCTCTCGTGTACTGTTCCGGCCTCCATAGGTGCTCGCTAACAGCACTTGCCCCTACAGTCTGTTAAAGGCTATATGGGGTGTCTTTGTTACTAAGTGAGTGAGCGAGTGATTGGGTGGGTGATTAGCTGGATGGGTCAGTGGGTAGGTATGTGAGTGGATGGCTGGGTGAGAGAGTGATTAAGTGCATTGTTGTAACCTGCAGTGTGATGGTGTGTGTGTGTGTGTGCAAGTGGCAGCTCCGTGTGAGTGGGTGTGTTACCTTTGGTGCCAGCACGCGCACTTTCCTTTTGGCAAAGAAGTAGTTGGTGATAGGCAGAGGTTGGGTGGCTTCATGCCGAGAAGTTGACCAGTTTCCAACCTTGGAAGAGAGGCAGAAAATATCCCCTTCAGAACAAATGTTGAAGACTTGGCCTGCTCCACTGACCGTTTCGTCTCATCCACGCTGCAGGTCTGTTCCACAGTGGAATTCCCTCCCATCGTCTCTTTTCCAAGCTCTTACAACTTCACTATATTCAAGAAATGTGTTAATTCTTATCTATTACAACTTTGAGAGGACAAACAGTTCTCCAAACTTTATCCGAATGTGTGCTTTGTATAGCACTCATTACACACAAAGTGCTTGCCACAAATGAACCACAATACCTTCCTGATATTATCAAAGAGCATAAACCACCATCAAGCGAACTCCGGTCATTATTGCAGTGGCTTCTGGCTCGTCAGCAAACAAAGCCGGTCACCGCATCGCGTGCTTTCAGATGCATTTCTGCGGCTGTCTGGAATGCTATTCCTTCCGACATTGGGAAGCCACTGGGGCAATGCACTTTTACATCTAGATCAAAAACTAATTTCTTTAGAACTGCTTTTTGTGTTGAGTTTGTCCTTTCCCCGCTCCTCCGGTTAGCACGGTTAGCTATGTACGGCGCGAAAGAAATTCAACATAAAGACCAATTGAGTTTCATAGCCGCTTTTGAAGTCGAAGTCTGGATAACCGTAGTTACACATCGTGCTGTAGTTATAGAAATTGGGATTCTTGAAGTGGCCTGGGTAGCTCAGAAGTCTTCATAGGTGACCAGACTGAGACCATAGACTCGCTACAATTGTAAACCCAGTTTAATGACAGGCAGATGCCCAGATTCGAACCCAGGGTTTTCAACAGTGCTACCCCGTCGAATTTGGGCAGCTGCCTGTGGTCAAAGCCGGTTAAACGGATTTAGTAGTGCAGTGAGTTGATGGTCTCAGCCTGGTCACCAATGATGGCACAAAAAGTAATAATAGTAAATTTTGTTTCTCACTTAATTTACATGTGCATCTTGCAGCTATGAGAATTAGAAACTGCATCGCTTTGCAATATAATGAACAGTTTAACACGTAGGCTTTCACGACCATGAATATAACGAACATTTATCTTTGTAGCAAGGTGGGCGGGATAGTGTTGCCCCCTAGTGTGGATAAGAAGGGTCAGAGTCCGAAACGTCACTGGTTATTATAATTATTTTAAATTAGTGAGTGATGGAGGAGTGCGTGGTTGAGTAATTATTTTGTTACCTGTGCTTTGTTCAGGTATTTGGACACATGAACCTTATGGCGGGACCCCGGGGTCCCATAAGCCCCCCGCGGCACTCGCATAAACTGCGTTGCGACGTCACTTTATGTCTGTTGAAGGTGAACGATACAGAAATGTATTTCTCTCGACGAGCTCTACATGATGCGCTAAACAAAGTTTCAAAGTTTTGTTTCTTCTGTGCATTCGTCCTCACTGCGCATGGACGACACGACAGCGGGCGCGGGTCACGGCGTTGATGTGCGCGGTGGGACGGAGTCGCCAAAAATTAATTAATTATTTTCGCTTTTGACTTCCGTTTATTCGGAACCCCGGGGTCCCGCCATAAGGTTCACATATGTAGGACGGACAACAGAAAAACGCTTTAAATTTTGTTGTTGTTGTTGTTGTTTGGGAAAAATGGAAGGAACCGGAAAGAGAGGAAGACCTAGCAGAGAATGGCTTGACGACGACGACGACATGAGAGATTGGTGCCAGAAAGAAGTGACCACTACTTGAGAATATTGGCACAAGACAGAGGAGAGTGGAAACAAATGACGAAATGTGCAGTGGACACCTCCGGGGCTATCTGCCCATGGATCGTGATTATGATGATGATGATGCTTTGTGCACCACTGACAAAGCAGCATCGCCAAATAACAGTCGCTGCGCTGTCAGTTGTGCATAAAGCACAGTGACGAGTATCTGTTTGTCCGTAACGCTCTGGGATCTCTCAAGCGACGGTGTCTGCGTGGCAGGGAAACGTGCTGCCATCACCTTGTGCGGTCCGTCTGTCCTCAGCTCGAACAGGTCGATTGTGACATTGGTGCGGGTACCATCGCGAGTAAAGGCGACAAGGCCGGAGAAGCCCAAAACCTTCGTCTGCCAGTGGAGAAGAGGGGGGGGGGAGAGAGGAGGGTGGAGGAGAGACAAAGACAAAGATCGTTCCGTGTAGTCTAAACAGACTTTTGGGTCAACTGCTGTTAGCGAGTAGCACCTATGAAGGCTGGCACGGCATACGAGGAGGTGGGTGGCCACCACCACGCCCGGCCGCCTTTGTCTCCCAAGTGATGATATGTACACATTGCACCAGGTACTCATTTGAAGCTGAGTTGATCTTGGGGAGGCACAGGATCCCATTCAAATAATCGTCACTGGTGTTGGCCGTGAGGGTGAATCGAACTCGGGGCGTCGGGTTCGTGGCACAACGTGCAAACCGCTCCACCACTACTCCCCATTACAAAGACAAAGATCCTCCGTATAGCCTTAACAGACTGCTGGGGCAAGTGCTGTTCGCGAGCACCTATGAAGGCCAGAACGACACACTCAGGGGTGGGTGGCCAGGACCACACTCGCACACACCTACAATACATATACACAAACACGTACAACACAAGTACACACACGATCACACTCACACACACACACGATCACACACATACACACACGATCACACACACACACACGATCACACATACACACACATACACACACGATCACACTCACACATACGCACACGATCACACTCATACACACGCACACGATCATACACATACACACACACGATCACACTCACACACATACACACACGATCACACTGACACACACACGATTACACTCACACACATACACACAGACACGATCACACACATACACACACACACGATCACACTCACATACACACACGATCACACTCACATACACACACACGATCACACTCACATACACACACACGATCACACTTACACACATACACACACACTCAACAACAACCGCCATTCGCCACTGAGTGGCGGTGACGTCACCACGACGCTTGTGCCAGGCCATGTGCACCTTGAGGCCACGTGAAGTGTCGAACGCCCGCGGGCAGGAGGTCACGGGGCAGACCCAGGTGCCACGGGTCGACTGACTGAGATGACTGGCTGGTGCACCACCTGTGCCTCCTACTGTGCCAACCTGCTGTGCTTTAGCCACCCGGCGCTCCGCTCGTTGTTGTGAGCGTCGCTCCTCCGCCCTCCATTGTTGTTGGAGGGCGATTGCCTCCAACTGCCCAATAGCGTCCTTCACGAGCCTCTTCCACAGAGGCCGATCTTGACACCGCTGGTACCAGTCATCGGCAAGTCCACTCAGCTCCACGTCCTCCTGTACCACATCACTCCATCTCTTCTCTAGCCCGTGCCGCGCCCATTTAGCCCCCTCGATCCGGCCGATCATTAGCTGTTTCGGCATGCGGTGGCTGGGCATGCGGGCTATATGACCCAGCCAACGCAGCCTTGCCTGCCGGAGGAGCTCACCGATGGGACTTTGCCCAGTTCTTTCAAGGATTTGTGAGCTCCTCACACAATCCAGCCTGGTTAAACCCAGGATGGATCGTAGGCAGGCCAGCCTAAATGTTTCCAACCGGCGAAGATGCTCCATTAAGGGGGTCCACGTTTCGCAAGCGTAGAGAAGGGAGGGAATGAGCGTGGCCGAGAAGACCTGAAGCTTAGTGCAGAGCGACAGACCAGGTAGCTTCCACATAGCGTTACGCAACCGATGAAAAGATATTTCCGTTCGACTGATTCGGAGTGAGACCTCTGCTGTTAAACTGGAGCCGGTCATAAGCACACTGCCCAGGTATGGGAAACTCTCCACTCTCTCCACAACTGCCCCATCACCGATTGGGAGTTGTGGGGGTGGAGTGTCCGATGGTAAAATACCCAGGCAGGTGCTTCGTTTTGGTGGGGCTGATGGTAAGGCCCCATCTCTTAGTGGCACGCTCCAGTCTCAGCAGCAGCGTCTCCAAGTCTTCCTCTGAATGAGCAGCTATTACCAAATCATCGGCATACATAACGTGGTTGAGCAATAGGGAGCCATCCCTTGACCGCACCCGGGCATCGATCAGCCTCCCATTATATCTGTACCAAATGGAGATTCCCCCAGTACAGCTATTGAAGGCTTCACGAACTACGTGGTCAAAATAGATGTTAATGTGGGAGCCAGAGGACATCCCTGTCGCACCCCAAGGTGTACAGGGAATGGCTCTGACTCCCGGCCACGTAGTTTTACCCGGGCCCGCTCACCATCATGAAGGTCCTTAATGATCGTGAGCAGAGGGTCAGGGACTCCAAAAGCACGAAGAACAACCCAGAGCCCAGGCCTACTGATGGTATCATAGGCCTTGACCAGGTCAATAAAGCAGAGATGTAGGTCTTGTTGGAATTCTCTACACCTCTGCTGTAGCAGACGGACAGAAAATATGGCATCTGTGCAGGACCGCCCTTTCCTTAAACCTCATTGGGGCTCCGCAAGCCTCTCCTCAGCGTGCCTGGCGAGGCGATGTTGAATAATCCTTGCCAGGACCTTTCCCGGCACACTGAGGAGTGAGATGCCCCTGTAGTTGTTACAGTCTGTGCGGTCCCCCTTCTTAAAGAGAGGGACCACCAGGGCATCCTTCCAAATCCTGCGGAACCCGTCCAGTGGTCCAGACTGATGTTATGATGTCATATAGAGCAGTCTGTGCACAAACGCCACCATCCCTGAGCATTTCGCTTGGGAGATCATTTCTGCCCGCTGCCTTTCCTGGTCTCAGACTCCGGATCGCCTTCAGTACTTCCTCAACAGATGGTACTTCAGCCAGCCACTCACAGGGGGTGACTTCTTCCAATATTTGAGGCACCGCAGCCTCAGCAGGGACATCCTCACTTTGTGCCACGATGTTTTCCTGGCTGAGGGATTTTCCCTCTCCCAGGACCTCACAGAAATGCTCAGCAAATCTGTAAACCTGTTCCTGGGGGTCGGAGATTGGATCACCGTTTTTTCCCCTAATGATGGTAATAGGTGTGGCGCTGCAGGTTACTTTTTTAATGGAGTTAAATAGAGATTTGTGATCGCGGGCGACTGAGGCAGACTCCAGACTGCCACACACACTCACACACACACGATCACACACACGATTACACACACACACGATCACACACACACACGATCACACTCACACACACACGATCACACTCACACACACACGATCACACACACACGATCACACTCACACACACACACGATCACACTCACACACACACACGATTACACTCATACACACACGATCACACTCATACACACACGATCACACTCATACACACACGATCACACTCACACACGCACACACGATCATACTCACACACACACACGATCTCACTCACACACATACACACACGAGGTCACACTCATACACACGAGATCACACTCATACACACACACACGATCACACTCATACACACACGATCACACTCACACACATACACACACACGATCACAATCACACACATACACACGATCACACACACACGATCACACACACGCTCGCCTGCAGCACGCCAGCAGGCGAGCACACGCCATCCCGCTCCATCTGCTTCAGGAAGGTTTGGGCGTCAAACTCCAACGCGTCCAGCGGTGTGATGGAGAGAGACGTTGGGGACGAACGGGAGGGGGGATTGGCCGCTCCACCCGGCTCTTGGAGAGAGACCTCCAGCAGTGTGAACCGTACGCCCGTCTCTACGAACCGGCTGAGATACTTCGGTGGCAGCGTCTGTGATGAGGCGGGGGAATGTGGGTTGGGGTGGGGTGGGGGCGCGTGGTTTGGAGGGGGGATGGGGTTGTGTAAGAGGGAGTTTAGAAAAAGTTACATCCACGGTGGTGAGATGTTAATTACCTCGCGTGGTATACATTTAGAAACGTGTTTTGAGTATTTGGCTGCAATACATTTCCACACGCTAAGCCACTTCGTTGAGCTGTCATTTGTGGCCAGGTTGCTTCTGAAAAAGAGGTACATAGCTCAATGGGCCTGACCTGGTAAAATAATAATTGTAAGTATCGGATTTGTTCTCCTCTTTCGTCACGTTTGCCGACACAATGTGCACTCCAATACAGTTGTTTTCCTATAACGCGGTAGTTGCGTTCCTGAAGAATACCACGTTATGGAAACATCTCGTTATAATAAATAATATAGGGTGAAGCACGGCCCGAGATAACATGCGAGATGCGTACGCAGGCTGAACAAAGACTGAGGCGCGTGGGTAGCATCTAGAAGCATCCAGCAGCATCCCCACTGCCTTGTGTGATGCTGCTTCGAGGCGTCTGTACAACCACTTATTCCTACTCACACGACGTAGTTCTGTTCACTCAATCGTGTCCTATCCAATTCGCACCCGCGTTATAAAAAAAGTGTTCCCTAATACATTAATCGCGTTCTCTAATACATTAATGGCGTTCTATCCAATTCGCGTTCTGAAAATACACAGCGATATATGAGAACAGACTGGAATAAACAGACTGCCCGGGGTTACAGGTCTACACGTCCTGATTTACAGAGCTCATTGTTGGGATTTTACAGGGTTAGCAGTTTTTCTTCACCTCTGTCCACCCAGCAGTGTAAATACTGAACTAAAACTATTTTTTATTATTTTACCAGGTAAGCCCCACTGAGCTATGTAGCTCTTTTTCAGAAGCGATCTGGCTATCACAAATGATAGGTCAACGAAGGGGCTTATCACGTGGAAATTTATAGCAGCCAAATACTCTAAACGCGTGATGTTGATTCTAAATGTGGAGGGAAAAACCAGAGGACCTGGAGAAAAATCCACGAGACATGCAAACTCCTAATATACAGGCGTCTAGGTCGGAGTCTAAAGCAAGAGTACGGCAAGATTGTCAATGTGTAAGTTAGGGAAATCGTACCTGCAGTGGCACGACCCAGTGGTAGGGCATTGCAATGAGTCCAAAGTAGATAGACTGCACACACACACACCCACACACCCATACAGTTTAACACGTAGGCTTTCGCGACCAATTTTATCCATGATAAAGGTGTTTTGAGTTATATCGCGTGAACATGAATGTGTCATTAAACCCGCCACCCCCCTGACACAATAAATGAGTAAGGTTTGTCACGTAAACAAAACGTGCCAATTAGTTACTACTTCAGCACACCGCTGTGTTGGAGAGCTAAACCCACGACATTTACAATTTGAGTAACGTGACGTTTCTGCTGGTGATTACAACCAGCTTCATAAATATCAAAGATAGTGAGCAATAACAGAAATAGTGAGCAATATCACATACAGGCGTGACTCAAATAACCGACTCGACTTTCCAGGGTAGCTCTGTGCTCTTTGCCTCAGTTCCGCCGGTGCACGCACGCCGATGCATCCGGTGACACCCTGGACACCCGTGCAAACGAGATTTTCCATCTCAAGGGATTTTCTACGTGAAGTATTTGAACTTATGTTTTGTTTTAAGTATTCTGCTGTCAATTTCATTCTTGGTCACACGTTAGGTTTTTTTTATCACCTGAAATGTTTTTCTTTCTGCTTTCTTCCGTTTTTAATAGGGAATCACACCTGGTCTACATTTTGTTTTCGGAGGCCCAAGACCGGTGACGCTGGTCTGAACCGGTTTTGGGCCTCCCCTCGTGTCTGGTATGGAGGAGGTCGTGGATTCGACCCTGACCCTGCCCCCATTTGTGAACAGGTCGCTTCTGAAAAAGAGCTATATAGGTCAGTGGGCCTTACCTGGTAAAATAAAAGAAATAGTTTTAATTTAGCTCGCAGAGACTGGTCTCAACGCTCGCAAGAGCATCTTAGGGAGTACCCGTCTGGTACAGACACACGACGGGAGGCTGATCGATGCCCGAGTTGCCGAGGCTTCAAATGCCTCAGCGAAGTACCTTAGATCATATCTCATCTTTGCTCGAACAATCAAAGTACACCTCCAAGTGGCAGCTGTCCCTGTAGCAGAAATTTTGGGCCATGACACCAGTACACAATGGCCTAGTTATTTCAAATGCTGTCACGGGATCTCCAACGTCCACCGTGAGTGAAGCAAACTGTGCGTAATATGCTGTGGTTAATACGCACCACAGTATTAACGCGGGCAGCCTGCCAGCTGCTAACCACGAACCTCTGCAAAAAGCAGCTAACGAACTATTGCTGGGCCATGTCACTACTCCGAGATGTCCATTCTATACTCAATGTCACTCATTTTGTAATTAATTTATTTACAACACTAAACACCTCGTGGCTCAGAGCAGTATGCTAAGCACCTAGTTACTGAACATCTGTGAACTCCTGGACATCTCTGAAAAAATAACTTTATAGCTCATCGGATTTCTCCAGTATGAATAAATATTATTATTATTATTATTCTGTATCCATTTACCGCTAGGCTCCTTGGCTTACCTGATTGAGAATATGGGGGATGAGGGAATCGCGACAGTAGAGTACGATGTTATAGACCTAGAAATAGGGATGGCATCTTAATAAGTTACGATCATTATTAGCGAGCAACAAAAGCACAGCGATTGTAACTAAGATCTGTACTGTGTAATATCTGTTCCGTCAGAGGTATAACATCTGTACCGTCACAGGAATAACTTCTCTAACGTCACAGGTATAACTTTTGTACCGTCACAGGTATAACATCTGTACCGTCACAGGTATAACATCTGTACCGTCACAGGTATTACATCTGTACCGTCACAGGAATAACTTCTCTAACGTCACAGGTATTACATCTGTACCGTCACAGGTATAACATCTGTACCGTCACAGGTATTACATCTGTACCGTCACAGGTATAACATCTGTACCGTCACAGGAATAACTTCTCTAACGTCACGGGTATTACATCTGTACCGTCACAGGTATAACATCTGTACCGTCACAGGTATAACATCTGTACCGTAACAGGTAAACATTGTACCATCACAGGTATAACTTTTGTACCGTCACAGGTATAACTTCTCTAACGTCACAGGTATAACTTTTGTACCATCACAGGTATAACATCTGTATCGTCACAGGTATAACTTCTCTAACGTCACAGGTATAACTTTTGTACCATCACAGGTATAACATCTGTACCGTCACAAGAATAACTTCTCTAACGTCACAGGTATAACTTTTGTACCGTCACAGGTATAACTTCTCTAACGTCACAGGTATAACTTTTGTACCATCACAGGTATAACTTTTGTACCGTCACAGGTATAACTTCTCTAACGTCACAGGTATAACTTTTGTACCATCACAGGTATAACATCTGTACCGTCACAGGAATAACTTCTCTAACGTCACAGGTATAACTTTTGTACCATCACAGGTATAACATCTGTACCGTTACAGGTATAACTTTTGTGTAGTGATATCGGTGATGTCACTGTATGATGGCGTCCTGAGAGGCCCACGGCAGGCGATGCACCGTCATCACGTACACCCCTTAGGCGGGTGTAGTACGTTTCGATCGCAACACGAGCAATCGTCATCAGGAGAATGATGACGATTGCTTGTGTTGCGAGCGAAATGTCGTGATATTTTTTATTATTTTTTATTAACTTTATTATTTTATTGTATTTTTTTCTATCTACGTGACTTTACCGAAAGAACCATAGAATATACATTCCGAATCGTACATTTAACAGTATTATTCCCGTGTTATTAGATCAATTTATACACATAGTGTTTGCAACAAATAAACCACGATATCTGGCTGATCTCGTTCAAAGTGCATAACTCCAGTGGCTTCCAAATATCGGAAGGAAGAGCGTTCCAGACGGCCACAGAAGCACATTTGAAAGGGCGCGATGCGGAGACTGTGTTCGTTCGATGGTTAGCCAAAATCCGCTACTGCTGCGAGGATGACCACCGGAGTTTGCGTCACGGTTGATGCTCCTTGACGAGATAGCCAGGTATTGTGGTTCATTTGTGGCAAGCACTTTGTGTGTAATGATTGCGACCTCAGTGTATTCGTTCGGCAACGAGGGTCATGATTAGTTCACGAGCATGATGTCAAGCTTGCGGCCCAACTGAGGTGAAGGAGGGGGCCGCTCATGTGGCCCACCGCCGCCCTTGTCCTTACCTCCTTGCGGCGAATCTCCCGGAACATGTTGTCAAGGGCCAGGAGGTCGGGAGACTGTCCTGTGTCCTTCAGCTGTATGGTGCTCAGAGTCACGGCCATGCTGGTGTTCTCCAGGAAGCTAGCCACTTCCTCCACAGATAAGTGCAGAGCTGGTGGGAATCGTGGGCAGTGGCGTCACAGTCACAGTATACTTTCACGGTTACTTTTATTGAACCAGGCGATAAGTCAAGATACAAGTGCGTCTCACTTACAAAGGTCATCACGTTTACAAAAGTAATTACTTAAAAACAAGAACAACAGTGCCGCAAATTCAGACCAAAAACAACCGAAATAAAAAAAAGCTGAGTAGAAACGGTCAGTTTGAAATCATAGGCAAAGCAACTGTTACAGGAGAAAAAAGTGCACAAACACAATGAACATTAAATCAAGTAAATTTCCACTAACAAAACTTTGCTTTTTATACTTAGCACGGATGGCTCCGGACGGTGTGAAAGAAGTGCAACATACAAACATAAACAGACGACGACGCAAGTCTGAGATGAATCCCTGCCATAGCAACGCGCTGCACCTTGGAAATAGTGAGCCCGGGCGAAAGAGAGCCGAGATAGTAGCGGGGCAACCAGTGCCTGATCTGATGGAGGCACTTTCAAACAAACACAATCGATGAAGTCTCGTTGAAGGGAAACAATAAAATAATAAAATATATATAAAACAATAAAAATTCTCACGACGTTTTGACCATAACACAAACGGTCGTCATCAGGTGTGTCGGTTTGCATAAATTTATTGCATAAATTTTTATTGCATAAATTTATGCAAACCAACACACCTAACACACCTGATGACGACCGTTTGTGTTATGTTCGAAACGTTGTGAGAATTTTTGTTGTTTTATATATTTTATTATTCTATTGTTTCCCTTCAACGTGACTTTACCGAAAGAGCTAAGAATATGAATTACTGCAGTCACGAAAGCTTTAAATCAAAATTTACAATCGATGAATTTAAGAAACTTGCCCCACTGGTTTGAACTCCCGCACCGGGAGATCCAATGGAATCGGCGACACCTGGATGACAAGGCCAGTGGGCTGAGCGTTCCATAACAGCAGCTCCCTCTCTCTCATTTAACAAAGGGTGGGAAGATCACGCGAATTGCTCGACAATTCCACAGAGTGGTCATGATGCATGCAATATTAACGTCGTTTTTTATGCGCTGTATTTACAGGTGGGGTTTCAACGTGGCAGACAATTGGCGAATTTACGACAGAGGAAAACAAAGTAGTATGCGAGTATGTGGGTCCACGATCGTGAAAGAGAGCCGACAAGCCCATGAGTAAATATAAGAACCAGATGTTCACAGAGATTTCAATAGAACGTGATCCTTCACGCGAAACATTACGGGCATGGAACTGCCCGGAACTGCTCTTACAGTTGACAGCCATCGACTTGGCAAACTTTGGCACAAACCTAGCTGCTGTGTGCCGTGAATGGAGGGCAATACACGGAGCTTTTGGAATCAAGGTACGTTATATTTTCCACGCAAAGGGACTTTGTGGCCACGCTGTATGTGTGAGGCAAACCAGTAACCATATTCTACCAACAATCCTCGCGACTAAAATTTCAACCGAGAAGATGGATTCTGGCTTAACAATCATTGGAAAGATTTGATAAACCATTTCAGGTCTTAATTGATTGTTCACGCTTACAGTGGCTTTCAGACAGCATACATTAATTTTTCGTCTCCCCCCTCCTCTTTTCAGAACATAGATGGACTCGTCCTTCTAAATAAACTGCCAAATCGCTGCGCGTGGCGCTGACGTTTTTTTATAAATAAAGAAATACACCGTTAAAAAATAAATAATTTTATGCAAACCTACACACCTGATGACGACCGTTTGTGTTATGGTCGAAACGTCGTGAGAATTTGTATTGTTATATATATTTTATTATTTTATTGTTTCCCTTCAACGTGACTTTACCGAAAGAGCTAAGATTATAGCCCTCGCGACTCTTCGGTCGTGACCCCGACCCGCGGCGGGGCAGCGAGCCCGCACGCCGCCTGGGCCATCCCCGACCTTGCGGGTTTGTTTGAGGCGAGTTTGTGTCGCGTTACCTGCTGGGTTCCCCCCCCCCCGCCTTCCTCCCCTCCTCTTTTTCTAAAATCTGTTTTGTATTCTGGGTTTTTGACTGAGAGTAAAACTAAACGATTAAAAATGTTTTTTAAACAAATTCAAAAGTGACTAAAGAAATCTGAAACGTACAAATATATTTTGCCAAACAATAAACACAAAGTGTTTAATTAAAAAACCCCTGCACGAACCGGGGTCGTGGAGGATGATGCCCCGGCGCCACTTTGCCTGCGACGCGAGCCACTGCGCGGCTCCCAGGACGACGCCACCGCCGGGGTAGAGTGGGAAGGTTCGCCGGCAGCAGCCGCTCCCCGCGTACAGCACGGCGCCCGGAGACGGCGGGATGAGTCGGGGCCGCAGGGGGCTTCTCTGCTCCCTGGGGGTGTCGGGCCGGGCCACCCACACCTCGGCGCGGCACGGCGCGGCTGCGTGGGGGAGAATGGGGGAGGCCTGACTCACTCGTACCGTCAGTCGGCGGTCACAATGCTTTTTAAAGACTGGATGAATCCGATGAGCCGTGAAGCTCTTTTTGTTCAACGGTGTCCAGCACAAAGTCCACGTGGGGCAACCTGTCCGCAGCAATAGTTTAGTTTGTTGAGGCAGCTGGGTCAGGATTATTGGTCAAAACTTAGCCCCCACCCTTTACCCAGGCAAATGGAGAGAGCACAGACTTTGTGTTACACACCTAACAACATTGGCGAATCATAAGAGACATATATACTACAACAAATAATGAAAGTAACATTGTATCAGTGGTCCTTAAACTATCCAGGACACTGTTGCAGTGTCCAGCCAGACTGTTTCAAACACTGTGAAGTGAAAGTTATTTCCTGCTATTTGTATTTTGCCAGGTAAGACCCACTGAGCTACATAGCTACGTATGTTTCAGATGCGACCTGGCCACAAATGATAGCTCAACGAAGTGGCTTATCATCAAGTGGAAATGTTTAGCAGCAGACAAATACTCTTGAAATCATGTTGATTCTAAATGTTGAGGGATAAACCGGAGGACCTGGAGAAAAATCTACACGACCACGGGGGGAGAGAGAGAGACACGCACACTCCAAATATACAGCAGCAGGCGTCAGGGTCGTGATCGAACCCACGGACCTCCTGTACACCAGGCGAGGTAGTTAACATCTCCTAGCCACCGTGGCACCCTGAAGTGAAAACGTCGTTCCATTTTGTACACAGTCGATTAATGTGACTACTGCACTTTGGTGGCTCAGTGGTAGAGCCAGCACCTCGCAATAGGAAGGTTGTGAGTTCAAATCCTGGTTGGGGGTTGATTCGGCCCATCACTCCTACAGGCTTGATAGAACGAGTACCACTTTATCAAGAGGTAAACAGTGCTTGTCCAACGGATTAACTTGCCCCTGTCACGAGATTGTGGAATCCCACCACTCTCTCAGGTCTGCAAACAGGAGCTGAAACACTGCTTCAATGCTCATTTGAGCAGGAAATCACAATTGTTAATCAGAAACATTATTGATACTTCGATTTAAAGCGTTCGTGATTGCAAGGATTCATCTTCTTTGGTTCTTTCGGTAAAGTCACGTAGAATGAGAATAAAATAATAAATTGATAAAATAAAATAACACAATTAAATTCTCACGACGTTTCGGCCACAGCACAAGCGGCCTTCATCAGGTGAAGGGACGAGACTGTCTGGAGGACAGCGCTGGAGGGAACAAAGCCACGATCAGATCGCGACCTTTAAGCTGTGTGAGAAGAAACAAAGCGCCTTGACAAAGGAATTTATCATAGAATTTAGCATTGAAATAGCTGAGTGATTAGCTTGTGACTGGTCACAGAAATGGCTATGTTAAAGTCAAAGCAAACACAACCACAGAGGCACCCCTTGACAAAAGAATTAGCATAGAATTTAGCATTGAAATGGCTGAGTGATTAGCTTGTGACTGGTCACAGAAATAGCTATGTTAAAAGTTAAAGCATACACATCCGCAGAACCAACACATACTTCACCTGGAATGGAACTTTCTACAAACAAACTGAGGGCACCCCAATGGGCTCCCCCCTATCTCCGGTTGTAGCCAACGTATTCATGGAAAAATTTGAAACTGACACCATCCAGACGGCCACTCTACGCCCGACCTTATGGAAGAGGTACGTTGATGACACCTTTGTCATCTGGCCACATTGCCAGCCTGCTCTAGACCAATTCCGCGACCACATCAATTCCATACACCCAGCCATCAGATTTACCATGGAGGTCGAAAAAGATGGCAAACTACCCTTTTTGGATGTCTTAATTAAAAGGAGACATGATGGTTCAATGAGCCACTCTGTCTACAGGAAAGCTACCCATACAGATGCTTACTTGAAACTGGATTCCCACCACCATCCATCCCAGAAGAACTCCCTCATCAAGACTCTATACCATAGAGCCCAATGCATTTCCGACCAGGAACACATTACCAGTGAACTCAAGCACGTACACCAGGCTCTCAGGGCTAATGGTTACTCCGACTACACAATCCGCAAAGCCATCACTCCAGTCATGAAGAAGGATCCTCTTGTGGAGCCACTCAAAACCATCACCTTACCCTACATTGCAGGGGTCACTAAAAAGATCTCCAAAATCCTGAATAAACACAAGATCCAGGTCCGATTCAACACAGTACATAAAATACGTGATCTGGTTCCATCTGTAAAAGATGCTGTTCCAGACATACAGTACCCGGGCTTTTACAAACTAAAGTGCCTCTGTGCTAGTAGCTACATTGGAGAAACCAAACGACACATCACGGACCGCATCTGCGAACATAAAGCAGACTTGAAACATGGTAGAACGAACTCCTCTGCCGTGGCAGATCACTGTTATAATTCAGTGGGCTCACATGACATTGATTTCTCCAAGACGGAGGTTCTTTGCAAACCAACCGGCTACCATGAGAGATTCGTTCATGAGGTCATTCACATATACAAGCACAGAGACAATTTCAACCGAGAAGATGGATTCTGGCTTAGTAACCATTGGAAAGATGTTTTTTTAAACCATTTCCGTTCTTAATTAATTGTATTTTACGATGACCTTCAGACCGCAGCTCTTTTGCTGGCATTGACTCTTAATACCTCTCACACCACGGTTAATGGTATGGTTTACAACATGGAGTATAACAGCGCCTCGCGGCTGTCTCTCTCCCCCTCCTCCGTTCCGACCATGGCTAAATTCTCCTGTTTGATTTGTACTAGGTGCCTCTGTTAATGTGTATGCTTTGACTTTAACATAGCCATTTCTGTGACCAGTCACAAGCTAATCACTCAGCTATTTCAATGCTAAATTCGATGCTAATTCCTTTGTCAAGGGGTGCCTCTGTGGATGTGTATGCTTTGAATTTAACATAGCCATTTCTGTGACCAGTCACAAGCTAATCACTCAGCTATTTCAATGCTAAATTCTATGCTAATTCCTTTGTCAAGGGGTGCCTCTGTGGATGTGTATGCTTTGAATTTAACATAGCCATTTCTGTGACCAGTCACAAGCTAATCACTCAGCTATTTCAATACTAAATTCTATGCTAATTCCTTTGTCAAGGCGCTTTGTTTCTTCTCACACAGCTTAAAGGTCGTGATCTGAGCATGGCTTTGTTCGCTCCAGCGCTGTCCTCGAGACAGTCTCGTCCCTTCACCTGATGAAGGCCGCTTGTGTTGTGGCCGAAACATCGTGAGAATTTTATTGCGTTATTTTATTTTATCAATTTATTATTTTATTCTCATTCTACGTGACTTTGCCGAAATAACCAAAGAAGATTATTGATACTTTTCATAGATTCGTGTAAATTTTATTAATAATTCATAGAGTAAGCAGCTAGTCATGTTAGTACTAATTGACTGAACAAATGGTTAAGGCATGGGTACCCGCGTGGGTCTTGGTTCTGTGGCTGCCATTGCTATGGCCGGTTTGTAAATAACCTGCAAGAGACAGAAACACAACATGATTAACAACACGCACACACATCCGTTGTTGGATGTGTGTGTGTTTTTAATAGCTCAGTAGAAGCGATAGAAGCAGTCTCTCGTTTGGTCATGAACTGAAATCTCAGTTAGGATCGATTCAATCCGGTTAAATAATACAAATAAAATTGCACCTAGATCAGTGGCGTAGCCAACTACATTATCAGCTCAGGGGGTGCGATAATGGGTCACGTGGGGCCCCAATATTTCATGACGCTCAGGCCCCATTCCCCCCCAAGGCGGAATGATCTGCTTGTCTACCTCGTTACCCTATGATGATGATGACAGAGAACAAACACGCGATGCACAATTTGAGGAAGCCAAACGTTACTGCTCTAAATTAAAATAAAACGTGGAACGTAAATGAAACCATAAGAGGTTATTTTCGGTTAGATCGCGTACATATATAAATGTGTCGTTATAAGGAACGAAACGGGTTGACTTCTCCACTAATCTGGCTGTAGCCTGATAAAGCTAGTTGTAATTACTGGCGAAACGTCGTATTCAGATTGTAGATGTCGTGGCTTGGCTCTCCAACACACCGGTGTGCTGTACTAGTATACTACATTATACACTACACTACTATACACAATACACTACACGATAGACTAGTGCTGTACTAGTAACGAACTGGCACGTTCTGTTGACGTGACAACCCGTACTAGTTGGCTGTCGGGTGGTGGCGGGTTTAACGACACATTTAGATATTTACGCGATCTAACCCAAAAAACGTTACACTACTGATAACCATACTTCACCACGCTAGTTACACTACTGGTAACATACTTCACCACGCTAGTTACACTACTGGTGACCATACTTCACCACGCTAGTTACACTACTGGTAACCATACTTCACCACGCTAGTTACACTACTGGTAACCATACTTCACCACGCTAGTTACACTACTGGTGACCATACTTCACCACGCTAGTTACACTACTGGTAACCATACTTCACCACGATAGTTACACTACTGGTGACCATACTTCACCATTCTAGTTACACTACTGGTAACCATACTTCACCACGCTAGTTACACAGATAACCATACTTCACCACGCTAGTTACACTACTGGTAACCATACTTCACCACGCTAGTTACACTACTGGTAACCATACTTCACCACGCTCGTTATGCTACTGGTAACCATACTTCACCACGCTCGTTACGCTACTGGTGTAGAGGTTTTAACTACTCACTGTTTGGTAACCTGCATTTCCACTAGGTATCAAAGGGGCAGTGCAGCGTTACCTCTGTGTGAATAACGGTTGGGGTGAGACGAGTTGAAGTGGATCGTAGCCACAGTTTGGTAAGAACCAATCAGACAGTTCCACGTGGGAATGTGGGATTGGTTAGACCTGGCCACAAACGGGTATAAGAAGGGTGAACGCGCAGAGCGCAGGGAGTTCTCTCCCTACATGAAGACCGAAGCCTGGGCTGACGATAGACAGGACCTTGGACCCAGCCTTCCAGCCCTTCTGAGGGCTAAGGCTCGGCGTATCCAGTGGTCAGGACCCACCGGGCCAGCGGTGGGTCAGATAGCCTCCCCTAGGTCCCAGCCGGAGGACTCTAGGATAGCGGTAGACGTGTGAGTAAGTCCAGCCAAGATAGGAGGCTGTACCTCCTTAGGTTAGCAAGAGACCTGTGTGTAGGTCCCTCTAAGTCCGGAGGCTGTACCTTCTTAGGGTATCGGGTGAGGGGACCGTATACCCCTCTGTGTGTTAAGAACTGTGTAAGAGAAGACGTTTATTCGTCATTATAAACACTGCACATGTGCCAGCAACTCAAAGTGCCTTCCATCTGTGCGTTCACGAAGTGAAAGCCACCGGCACTGCAAGTGGTGGGCATCGGTCTGCCGGTAGGAGGCACTGATGGCCGTGTGCGTAATCCCAATTCTGCATATTAATTATCCGGTAATTTATGGAATATGGAAACTTTAACTGGGACGCACAATGGGTCTCTGCTCGTTTCCAATGACGTCAGGGGATCTTTAAATGTCCACAGTGAGTGAAGCAGACGGCGGGCGTGCTGTGATATGTAACGGATACATGCCACCCCATTATTTTCCAGGGGCGGCCTGGCGGAATTGAACCACGAACTTGTGCAACAAGCGGTGACGTCTCCACCCCTTTGTTGCATTCAAAATCGATCTCCTCAGTTGCGTCGGTCCGTGTTTTGACACCGTGATAGGCGCGTGAGTGCACGCAGGCCACTTGTTGTTAACGTTGTTACGGTTCATGAATTATAGATTCGGGTCTCTGAGGCTCACTCTTCCAACGGATGCCCTAAGAGCTTACAGGAAATCCACATCCACTCGAGCAGTTGTCTCGGATGCATCTCCGGAATGCGACGACGGAACTTTCATCTATCATCGTAATCACTGAGCAATGCCCTAATCCAGTCACCAAGATGTCTCGATGTTGTTTGATCCTTGGCTCGCTTTGAGTGTCTATAAATTAACACACTCCTGATGAGACATCGCCTGTAGACACGACCGTCCATATGCCCCCCCCCCCCCCCACCGAATACCCGCCGCGCTATGAACTTGGTGACCCGAGTTCGATTCCCGCTCACGGCCACCAACACTCAGTGACGATTATCCGAACCGGTCCTGGGCCCCCTCCTCTAGGTCGACTCAGCCTCACAATGAGTCCTTGGTGTGGTGTGTAAACATCGCCACTCGGGAGACAAAGGCGGCCGGGCGTGGTGATAGGTGCTACTCGCGAACAGCACTTTCCCCCAACAGTCTGTTAGGGTTACACGGGGGATCTTTGTCTTTGTTTATGGAGTGAGAGAGATTGAGCAACACCCCGGACTAGCACAGTTGGCTCCGTGCGGTTCAACATTTATACACACAAGCGACAAAGATCCCACGTACAGCCCTCACAGACTGTCGGGGCAATTGTCATGATTAGCGAGCAGCACCTACGAAGGCCGATGTAGGGGTGCTATGGGGAATAAACACATGGCACGGGAAGGTGTGGTTCACCCACACCTTGGTGGCTACAACAACGTCCGCTAAGGCTCCACCCCCTGTGGGTATAAAGTGCGGGGAGCCAGGGAGCTCGGGGCAGAGTATTGGGCCCGAGGCTGAAGCAACCAGTGAAGAAAGAAGGCCAGCTAGGTGAGACCCTGAAACCCCTGTGACCGCTGCCCTTTTCAGGGCCGGCACAGCAAGCCAGTGGTGCGGCCCGAGAGCCCCAGAGCCAGAGTCCTTCTAGGGCCGGTCTGGTCGGCGGGGTGCCGAGATCTGTGCCTAACCAGGGCCAGATCTGATAGCCTCCCTTAGAGCCCTACCAGGAGGAACTGGGAGCCTAGAGCTTAGACTAGAGAGCCTGGGGTGTGTTCCTGAGTTATACGGGTGAAGGGGCCGCTACCCCTTCTAGTGTAACCCTTGTTAAGGTTTAAATAAATACTGCTGCCTCTACTCTGCCGTCTCCGTGTCCTGGAACCCACTACACACACAAGCGACAAAGATCCCACGTACAGCCCTCACAGAATGTCGGGGCAATTGTCGTGATTAGCGAGCAGCACCTACGAAGGCCGATACTGCGCACGAGGGGGTGGGTGGCCAGCACCACAAAAGACAAAGACAAAGATCCCCCGTATAGCCTTAACAGACTGTAGGGGAAAGTGCTGTTAGCGAGCATCTATGAAGGCCGGATCGGTACACGAGGGGGTGGGTGGCCAGCACCACGCCCGACCGCCTTTGTCTCCCTAGTGGCAATGGTTACACACCGCACCAGGTACTCATTTGAGGCTGAGTCGACCTAGGGGAGGCCCGGGACCGGTTAAGATAATCGTCACTGGTGTTGGCCGTGAGCGGGAATCGAACCTGAGTCGCCAGGTTCATAGCGCAGCGCGCTAACCGCTACACTATCAGGTGCCACGGGTCGCCTGACTGAGATGACTGGCTAATGCATCACCTGTGCCCCCTACTGTGCCAATCTGCTGTGCTTTAGCCACCCGGCGCTCCGCTCGTTGTTGTGAGCATCGCTCCTCTGCCCTCCATTATTGTTGGAGGGCGACTGCCTCCAACTGCCCAGTAGCGTCCTTCACGAGCCTCCTCCACAGAGGCCGATCTTGACACCGCTGGTACCAGTCATCGGCAAGTCCACTCAGTTCCACGTCCTCCTGTACCACATCATTCCATCTCTTCTCTAGCCCATGCCACGCCCGTTTAGCCCCCTCGATCCGGCCGAACAAAAGCTGTTTCGGCATGTGGTGGCTGGGTATGCGGACTACATGACCCAGCCAACGCAGCCTTGCCTGCCGGAGGAGATCACCGATGGGACCTTGCCCAGATCTTTCAAGGATTTGTGAGCTCACACAATCCAGCCTGGTTAAACCCAGGATGGATCGTAGGCAGGCTAGCCTAAATGTTTCTAACCGGCGAAGATGTTCCATTAAGGGGGTCCACGTTTCGCAAGCGTAGAGAAGGGAGGGAATGACCGTGGCCGAGAAGACCTGAAGCTTAGTGCGGAGCGACAGACCAGGTAGCTTCCACACAGTGTTACCCAACCGATGAAAAGATATTGCCGCTCGACTGATTCGGAGTGAGATCTCTGCTGTTAAACTGGATCCGGTCATAAGCATACTGTCCAGGTATGGGAAACTCTCCACTCTCTCCACAACTGCCTCATCACCGATTGGGAGTTGTGGGGATGGAGTGTCCGATGGTACAAAATACCCAGGCAGGTGCTTAGTTTTGGTGGGGCTGATGGTAAGGCCCCATATCTCTTAGTGGCACGCTCCAGTCTCAGCAGCAGCATCTCCAAGTCCTCCTCTGAATGAGCAGCTATTACCAAATCATCGGCATACATAACGTGGTTGAGCAATAGGGAGCCATCCCTTGACCGCACCCAGGCATCGATCAGCCTCCCATTATATCTGTACCAAATGGAGTACAGCTATTGAAGGCTTCACGAACTACGTGGTCAAAATAGATGTTAA